GTGCACATTACGGCACTTAAATGCCACACCAATGTAACACCCACCTTCAATATTTATGTTATGAGTCCCATGTAATAGGGGGTGAGCCTATAACCATATACCGGGCACAATCCCAGACTCCGTGCTACTACAGAGATTTTTTTAAAAAACCCTGTAATACTTTGCCCGACCCGGGAAATGACCCCGAGACCCCCTTGCCCGGCTGTCGCACTTGCGAACATTATTCAGGAGGCAGTCAAAACTTCACACAAAATATATACATTCGGTTAACAAAGTAGTGAAGCAGCAGTTGGTACGAGATAAAGAAATGAAGAAATGGAAATAAGTACCCGGTTGTACAATTTCCTTTACTTCAGCGAACGTGGTTTGAATTAACCATAAATTCGTCCAAAGTACTACGCACCCACATTGCTACTTCTACGAAAATTAGCTTAACTTCCGAGCCTTTAACTTACTTAGCCACTTACTCACTTATTCCTTTCTTAGAACCAATCATGAGTCTAATTAGGTCGATTTAAAAAAAAAAAACCTTTTCATTTGTGTAGTTGTTACTTGATAGAATCCTGGATGGAGTAGAATATATATACGACAATTTTCAATTTTTCAAAAAAGTGTTAGTAATAGCACATTTAGCATGGTATCTGAAGTTGTAACCGGTGTATTTAACCGGTGGCGTTTTTTATATCTTTATATTTTAGGGAACGTTTAGCTGTTAAAAAATGCTATGATTTTTGTTATTGTAACGGTTTCTTACATGAACTGTAATACATTTATGAACTTAATGGGTTACCGGGGCCTATCTTACCTGACCGAAAGCGTAAGAAATCATTGGATGATTTCTCCAATAAAAAATACCTTCATAAAGCTTCTATTATTACAGGTGACTTTAGTTTTAGGGTAACATTAATTGTTCAAAATAGTACCTACTACCTACAATAAAAACATATCAAAGTATTGAACCAAAAACATTAAAAAACAATATTTAATAACGACGCAACTAAACACTCGTTTAGGTAAATTGGTTTCATATTTACGTCGCACGTACTTATCGTAAAATTCATATTAATATCTTGCACATTTGATAAAAATCTAGTGCTTGTTTTATCGATCCGTGCCACACATGATACCATAGTGTGAACATTTCATTGAGTATGCTGCTCTTTGCTAGTATTAGGTATATGTAACTGTTGAATAATAATATCATTGTTTAATCATGTAATCGGTCTTTGCAAACCTTTGTCAATACCGTTATTATATTATTATTTATATTATAACTTTCGTGAGGCATGCTATATTAATTATTGTGTTTTTCGGCTTAATGCTGCTGGCTACTCGAGTCTGTAGCAGCGTGACAGTCGCCGCGCGGCGGATCGCGGAATGCTTCTCATGAATATGAACCTCTAGCATGGCGTGAAACGAGTCAAGTTCCTCGTTAAATAATTACGTTTGTAAACCAAAAAACGTAATAATTAATATAGTTATTTTATTATCACAGCCGAATTAGATACGTTTAAGATGCTTGCAAGGCGTATTGGTTTAAAAATCACAAGAAGATAAAAATAAACGTAAGCGAAAACGCATAGAAGTTGAATGTTGCGAGTTTAAACCCGATCGATTTTATTAAAATTTTACAAATACAGCGAAAAGTATCCAATCACAAGTATAATTAATAAATAACCTAAACCAACAAAATAGCAAAACACATACCAACATTTATTCATAAAGAAATAGAGTTTAAATTACAACCAAAAAGAGATATGAATAGAATTCATTAGCTACGGATAAATTGAAACCTGTTGAATGTCGTTTTCCGCACTCTATCGCAGTAAGGTGTTAAGTAATGGTCAATAGATTACTATCATGCCCCCAACATACCCTTTTCACTTAGATATAAGACAAGGTGAGAAATATACTGTTGCTATCTCTTTCCGTATCTGCTCAGTAATCTAATAGTGTCACTTAATTTAGCTAGTCAAGTTTTGTTCGTGTAATTTTCATAAGAAATTGATTTAAAAACGCACAAATGACAAACATTGGTATTGTGTGTTGGTTAAAAATAACGAAATGTAAATGAATTTTTAAATAACTGCATTAAAATTCACGTATAACTTCATACTATTTTTAGTTTTTAAAATATGTTGTTATTTTTGCTTGAAATATTTTTACAGTTTCTGGTGTTATGAATAACCCTTTTCACGGGTGTTCCAATATAAACTTTTTGATTTCCTCCTGACATTGCACACCCAAACCTCAGGTTACCGGGGCTCCGGTTCGAAGTGCAGGAGAAGGAACGGGGTAGTTTGTCAGTAAGAGTCTGACACTCTCTTCCACCTCACCTAGGCGGGAGCAGTCATTCGATGATTTTCAATCCTTAAAAAAACCTAAAGAATGTAGGTTATATAATAATAGGTTGTTTAACTTCTTGACTGCCATGACACAATAAAAATACATTATACCTCGCTTCGTTATACCAGGGGTTAAAATTAAGAATCTTTCACTCCACACTCTATTCCACATAAGAATTTTACAACTACATACAACAACAAATAGATCAGTTAAACCAAAAACTTAATATTTAACCCTGCAAAACTCATATTTCCATCAACCGTCATGAAACAATGACGTATATCCGCACATTGTGACTTTACGCTCACCCTGTAGCTGTGCAATATACAAACAAAATGGCGTCGGCTGTTGAAATGCTAATACAATACAAATTGTAGTCTGCTTGTAACGAGGGTTGTCAAACTCGAGATTTCCTCTCAGTTTCCGAAATTAGTGATAGTGTTTTGTATAATATTTTCTTTTAAGTGGTAATACGGTTTATAATTGATTGGATTGGAATGCGTATAAGGTGTTGGACTTCGAAAGATATATCACTGCTTGAACTGTAATGCGTTCTATATAGTAATCAATAAGTGTTCCTATTTAAATCTAAGGTCACAATAGTTGCTATTGTGCAAGTAAAAGAATAATTATCATGGAACGAATGACAAAGTCAAAGTCAAAGCATTTATTTCAATAAATCCTTAAAAAGGCACAGTGGCACACACACACACACACACACAATTCCAAAGTGTAATTTCGAATGCAGAAGAATGAGCAAGAAACTACATCGTTACTCTTTTACAAAAAATGTTTTGACATACCTATTTACAATAGACATTAGAAAAATTATCTGAGTCATTTTGATATTTGTTTTGCTAGTTTGGTCAGAGGAATCAAATCTAACACCATAATGATAATAATGGAACCATTCAGACATTCACATTTACAAGCATATAAAAATACATTCTATCAAAAATCTCGAACACCATACACTTTCGAACACTTTGAATACTAAACAAACAAAGTTGTACCAGCTGATTACTATGCAGCATCAGTTCGTAAGCTATAGAGATTAATGAGCCAAGGCAATATGGACTCTGAGGCCGTGTTTTTAGACTACGTAGAAAACAAATTACCGTGCTGAAGCAAAATGAGATCTCTTATTCAAATAATAGAGCTCGGTGTTACAAGGAAGTTAGTTAAAGACTTTAGTACTAACTAAGTGCTGTGGTTTTACTCTGAAAGTTATCCTCCAGAGGTTTTTAATTTAATGTTGCAGCTTGCCTGTTATACTTCCAGTAGTATTTGCTAGGGAAATTCTTCGTTTTGTTTTGTACGCAACGTGGAAGAGCAAGATTGTTATCAAACCTACTAGAATGCTGTGGAAATCCGAATGAGTGAGTAGAACTTTGTACACGTCTAGTTTTTGTTAGACAATAATTATTATTAAGCACTATTTTATTATATGTTGAAAAACTTGTATTTCATATAGAAGATATTTTAGCGTGTTTACCTTATACATATATGACCCACCGTACATATCCAGGCCAAGAAAAAGTACTATTAAAAAATATAGTACGTCGTGATGGTCCGGAGGTTTTAAGACGTCCGTTTTGACTGCACGAGGGTGCGTGTTCGAAACCTACCAACAGCAAGTAACCAATGTGACTTTTTCCGAGTTATATGTACTTTCTAAGATTATTTAGACGCCACTGACAAACCTTAAAGGAAAACATCGTGAGGAAACCTGGGCTTATAATTTCATAAGTTTGAAATCGCCAACCCGAGTTGAGCAAGCGTGGTGATTAACGCTCAAACCGTGTGAGAAGAGGCCTTTAGTCAGCAGTCACTACTAGACCAGACTATTGATGTGGTGATGTGAAATATAGTAAACGTATATGTAATCTATAAATAACCACAAACAATCCAAAACAAAGACTGAACCATAAAATCCTAGTACAGACTCGATACAACCCTAGAACGCGGTTAGGAATGACAAGTAGGCATTTGTGACCTACGTCAGTGACGGACGTCCCGTGGACAGTTTCACTATTGTCTCTCTCACAAATTGTCCCCCGACGTTTCTAGGGTTAAATAAATTAATAATACCTGTGCTAGATTTATTGTTTAAGTGAAAATTGTTATGTCAAATGATTTTGAACTCAATTGTTAAGGTGTTTGAGTTTATTTTTGTTTGATAGTGTAATATTGTCATTTATTAAAGGAATTTTAATTAGTGAATTGTAAAAATAGCTTTTATTTACTGCTTGGAGGGGTCAAAATAGCGTGGGCCGAATGTGTAGGTAATTCGTTTCAAAGCTTTTTACGGACATAATTTAGTAGCGTTAACATAAGTCGTTAATCGTGATGTAAAACATAACTCTAAACCAGTAAATACCATGGTCAAGTAACATAAAAGTTCTAAAAAAAATATTTGCCCTAGTACCTAAATAACGAGAACACACATAAACTAGAATCTCAAACGTAAATACCAACGAAAATATCTCCAAACAAACTTTTTCACTAATTACAAAAGAATCTTACTAAAACAAAAATCCGCTTTAACCAAACTTAAAAAAAAATACACGCAATCTTCATCTTTTGTTCTAATAACTATAGGGTCTATTATAGCATGCATGGCCTAACATAAAAAAAAGTTTAAAAATACTCACAATAGGAAGTCTTGCTCCCAACATGGAGTCGGACCCTTAACTGTCACCGTCGTAGACTTGACATTCTGTAGTTTGAGTGTCACGTAAGTGTTGAACTGTTGTACTCCTGAAAAATAAACCTTATATTAACAATCAGAGAGTTGGAAGTTGCATAGCTGGTGAAAAAGGTAGGTTGGCACATGAAAGAAGATCTACTGTATAGGTTGCCTAGTATGATAGTCTAAGAGCTACTGAACCATCCAAATAAAATTCCTTAAAGCTAGAAATGTTTACATCCTGAATGTACCATGAAAGCTACAAAACATAATAAGCAGGCTTCATCATTAGGGTGTACATATCCAGTATAAACTGAACCTCGAAACCGTGAAAAATTCAAACAAAGCAAGACTATAATAAACTGGTTTATAAAAAGGATGATAATGTGCAAGGCTGATGACTGCCAGGTCGTGACTATTGGCCTTAGCGTGTAATAAATCATCATGCAACAAATTTCTAGCCTTACAGGACGTATTTTGTGCGGAGGGTTCAGTACCTCTTGGACTATGTACTCAATCAAAGGTCTAATGAGTGTTGGTAGTTAAATAAGAATTGATGTGGGACTGTTTGGGTTTCGCGTGGGTCACTGTGAAGTATGGACGGGTTAGCTAAAAGGATGTTCGATTGTAAATAAAGGGTTTTATGTACAATTAAGATAGACACTGTAAGTAGACACGCTATAGATGCTGAACCTTTAAACTGGTGTAGGTATCGAGAAATCGTTAATTTAGACACATACTGTAGCCCAAAATTGACTCCTAAACAATTACAATAAAGCTGTATTTTCTTAAACTTCTTTGTTTGTTATGACAAGCCTTTTATAATTGCATCTTTATAACAACCTGGCTGCTTCGTTGGCCGAGTGGTCGCAAGTGTCGCAAATCACAAGGGGTCTCGGGTTCGATTCCCTGGTCAGGCTAAATACTACCCGGTTTTAAAAAAAAATCTCAGTAGTAGCACGGAATCTGGAATTGTGTCCGGTATATCACAATAGGCTCACCCCCTATTACATGAGACTCATAACATAAATAGTGATAAGTGGGTGTTACATTGTAGTGGCATAATGTGCACCTCTGCCTACCCCTTCAGGGATAAAAGGCATGATGTTATGTCTTTACAACAAGAAGTATTTTAATCACTTAACATTAATAATGTACATATCAATTAAAAAGACGATATTTAAGTTCATAAATAAAAAGATTAAAATATCTCACCTTGCATGGAAACATAGCGCGCCTTTTTTACTGAAACAAACAAAAATAGACATTATAATCATGTAACATAATTACGATTATTATTTACGTCGCTCTGACCGCTGAAATGACCCCGGAGGGTCACTAACCTTTAGTTACAATGTTATAATCACTTTGGTGGTTGAGTAATAGGATTCTTAATAACAGACGGATTTTTTTATCATTGAGACGAGAAATCATCTTCTGAGTTCTCCCGCCTGTGTAAGGCGAGAGAAAGTGTGAGACTCTTCCTGACTAAAATTCACCCTGTTCCAACTCCTGCACTTTAAGCCGGAGCCCCAGCAACCCGTTAGGTAAGTCCTCCACGGCTCCGTATCAGCATTAGCCCTATTGGGCCCCATCTGGGGTGATGGCTCTTTGAGGTACGCGCGGAACCCAAAAATTTGTTGATACAAAAGTAGTATTTAAACGTTTTTATTATAATTATCGTGAGACATACTAAATTAACTAAAATCGCGGATCGCTCACGTGAATATACTGAGAAAAGTTCTACTAGTTTCGAACCACAGAGGCGTTCTTCCTCATGAGCAGCGTGCGCGTGACATAATTTAGTCTTTAAACATCGGAAATAAGGTCTATAATGGAGTTAATGAAGAGCGTTCATCGGGGAACGCTTGGAGTTAATCAGTAATGTTCAAATCATTTAGAAATAAAACGTCTTATTGTTGTCCGAAATCATTTTATAATTCTAGTACTTCAAGTTTTAAATCATAAGTCTAAGAAGTTTGGATAGAGTTAAAATAACATTTTAAACTAAAACTATACAATAATACAAACTTCTATCAAGTTACAAGGTCATTGAACTGTTTGTTTAACGTATTCAATAATTTCTTCTTTAAAAACAACTTACAGTAATTTAAGTTGAAACGACTTATGTACAAAGTTATGCGAGCCAAATTAATCTTTTGTGCCATGAATTTAAAGTTCGAATTGTCTGAAGGATTATATATAGATAGTGTAATGAATTATTTCTGTGACTAATCTGTTTTAGCAAATTCAATTTAGTAGTATTACTTATTAAAACTACTTTTACTTTGATCAAAATTAATAAGATATACAATCTGTTTTACTGTAAGATCTTTAAGATGCAATCACAATCTTATGTTATACTCTTATACTATTATATATAGTTTGTTTTTTTTTTTGTTTGAACGCGCTAATCTCCAAGTGAAACAAGTGACAAGTGACACAAGTGAAACAAGTGAATTTATTTCTGCAAATAGGCTTCAAGGCATCACTTTTACACGTCAATAACCGTTACTACAAGTCTGATTTGAATAATTATTTTTGTGTTTGATAGCGCATTTATCGAGGATGGCTATAGGCTATAAAACATCACGCTACAAACAATAGTAACTGAGCAGAGCGTGTGAAACCGCGCGGAAGTAGCTAGTCATTCAATATAATTTGTAAGTGTTCAATTACAAAGCTTCTCTCAAAGTGTTAAGATCCTTTTTTCAAGACAATTGCTTTATCTAGTTTGCAAACTAGATAAAAAATAGTGCCTAGCCTAAGTCTAATTTTCTCTTCATTGACTTAATTTTCTAAGTCCCTGATTACAAAAGGTACTCTAATGGACTAATAACTTAATAGGAACTTGTGTTAGAACAACAAGGCTAGCGCAAAGGACCTCCTAAGGTCAAGAAATGTCAAGACTCTTGACATTTTGTGGTCCTGGATAGCTATTTATTTATAACACTTCAACTAAATAATGTAAGAGGTCTAAGTGACCTTATACCATATATGTTATTCCAAAGTCTGTTTTGTTATTTGAAAATAGCTTCTGAAATAGGTCTGATATTATTCTAGACTACACTTCGATCTAAGACAATAGATTACACTGATATACATTTAAATATTATAAATATGTACACACGTAACTGGTGAATAGAAAGGTGTTCGTATATCTCAACTTATCAGATAATCGCTGTTTAATACCAAGTTATAAAGATTATTTTACGAAATTATTAAGAAGCTTAACCTCTTGATATAATACATCTATCAAAACGGACACCAAATTTTAAATACTAATAAAATGACTGCCTCGTTGACCGAGTGGTCGCAAGTGCAACTGCCGGGCAAGGGGTCTCGGGTTCGATTCCCGGGTCGGGCAAAGTATTACTGGGTTTTAAAAAAATTCTCAGTAGTACCACGGAGTCTGGAATTGTGCCCGGTATATGGCAAAAGGCTCACCCCCTATTACATGGGACTCATAACATGAGAGAGTGAGAAGTGGGTTTTACAATGTAGATACAGTAGCATAATGTGCACCTCTGCCTACCCCTTCGGGGATAAAAGACGTGATGTTATGTTATGTTACTAATAAAATGTTCTTAAACCTTGTTACCAACGTAAATACAACATTACCAAAAGATAAACTCATATTACACTAAAACATACAAATCAAATGACTTACAACAACGCTTTCATTCTAAACACAAGACATAAAACAATTCAATGCAAATCAATAATCCTTTACAACAGCTAAAAATAAATCCAAATAACTAACTAATTCACTCACACACACACACACAACAACACCAATAAAAACAACACACAATCCAATTATAAATAAATGATAACACTTATAACTTATAAATAATAATATAAATACGCGAAATAGAGAGTTGTAAAGCCGTAAGCCACGTGCAGCGATACCGTGTGTATTGTAAGCACTACAAGAGTACTATGGCAATCGATGGCGGTGGCCTGCCATGACTTATAGAGGAATAAGAAAGCGTAATATGGTCATTGGACTGTAAAGTCTGTCTTCGTACGGTGTTTATAAATAACAGTTTGTTGTGTTGTGTAATTTTTATTTTATTGATTGTACCTTTTCGACAAATAAGCCTTTTTTTAATGAGAATTTAAAATAAAAATCAATGTATGCAAGTTAAAGAAAATTTAGCAATAGTATTCAAGAACTTGCGTATAGTATTCTAAAGTTAAACAAAACACACACCCGTGCAACACTTTTATAACATGTAAAATTACAAAATAACAAGATATAAAGTAAAACAAGGTCATCCTCCATGTAATCGCTAAAACTCATTAAAACCGCCTCAATAATTTTCCCTATACATCAAAGACTTCCCACTAACTTTCGCCTCCATAAACCGTGATACTATTCAGAACGACATTTATGAATCCTAAACATAACCTCCAAACTAAAGACATGAATAACGATTGTTACAAACAAAAATTATCTAATTAATACTTTGATAAATGGAACTTCTCCAATTATATTTGTTGTACTCCCTTCGGGGGTACCCAACAGCAGGTACACAAAAACTTCAACTAGCTACAATCTGTATCAATTTATCAAATCCCCAGAAGCCTCAGTTGGGAGACTTATCTAGGGAAGTTGACTAAAAGTTAGCTCATTGAAAACATCGTTCCCACGACGCTTGATAACAAAATCTTTGCACTCTAACACTTAGGTACTTACTGTGTACTTGCTTAATTGCTTTCTTAACGATAAATGAAGCTATAAGAGATTATAGAGTCTGTGAATTTAAGGGGAGGGTTTTAAAAAACTCTGTTATGCCTTCGAATCCTCTTTAGATACTGCCATTAACTTTATAATGCAGACTTTAGTATTCGATTTATAGTTTAAACTGTCAAACACCAAGCGGTCACCGGTGACCGCAACCTATTGTTCTTTAATTATGTCTATAAATACGGTACTCGACGAGTTAAACAAATGAAAATTTTTCGCTTTAAATATACCTGATATGTGTTACACATATAGGTACATAAACCCAAAAAAAACACTTTTAAAATAAATAAAACAAACATGAAATCAAAGAATAAACACTGCAATGCAACACCGTCTACCAAACACAAAATCACCTCTTAAAATAGTCTGACCCATCCCAGACATAACGATATTACGAATTCAAATAAAGAAAGAAACAATTCTAGTATATCTCCTCCAAACCTGAACCCTCTTCCCTCTCACGACTTAGATCGTACTTTGAATAATTCACTCACCGAATGGCCTAACTTTACCTCTCGAGCCAACACCACTTTCAGATTCTAGATCATTCTTCAGACCTAGAGTTTCGAAGTAGGAAATAACTTTGTGTTCTTATGGTACCTATGTATTTTTGATCGGTTTACTGGTTTTAGAAGGTTGTTAGATATTCTGAAAGATGTTTTCATATGAATATTTGTAAACAATTATCAATGTTTTACAAATAAAGCTTGTACCGTCGTTATAGAAGACACAATTAAAGAACAATAGGTTGCGGTCACCGGTGTCCTCGCGGTGCTTGACAGTTTTAAAGAAATCATAACATAACATCACGCCTTTTATCCCCAAAGGGGTAGGCAGAGGTGAACATTATGCCTGCATTAAAAGCAATCACTTTAAGTAAATCATCATTCAACTATTTAAGTTTGGTGTATTTTTTGCAATTTCAAAGATAAGTTTAACTGTGTCGACTTATTTTTTGGTTCCGGACTATCAAAAATAACTATTTTAAACATTTGATTTTGAATTATATATTCAAAGTCTTGTCTTAGTACACAGCTAATATTTTATATCGAACATAAAACCCATTGAACTACTGCTACCGAGTGGTGGTCCAATTACTGAGCCAAGATTGTCAACTGCAGGAGATTGCCATCTTCATGCAGACGTTAACGAACATTTATTTATTGCTTCCCACAATTCCCTGTTTTCTTGCTGAAAATTGTCTTGTAATTAAATTAAATGTCAGTCTATTTTTATTATATTTATAATTTAGAAGTATTACGTTCGACCTTTATGTAAAGTGTAATGTAATATGCAAGGACGTTATCACTTTTTATAGGCGGTAGTCTTTAAATCTACTAGAGGTCTGTTATATTCAAGGACATTACTCACACGACCTACGTAAATATTTTATAATCAGCGAAATTAAAAAGTCACAAAGATACTTAAAATAAAACTACACATATGTACATGGAGACGTAAACACATCTTAATACAGTTGTGAATGAAATTA